CTTTCCCAGTTGGAGTTTTCCTGCATTGCTTTCCCTAAAAAACCAATTTCTCCTGGTGTTTGGTTGTTTCCTGATCACCAGCTCTGGTTAGTCTGGCTCCCAGCACAAGGTTAAGGGAGAATCAGAGAATCCCAGAATCATTAGGGTTGGAAAAGACCTCCAAGATCCTCGAGGTCAAACACTGACTGACCACCACATGAGACAACCCGGTGTCCTTTTCCACTTCTTCTCTTCATTTGCTTGTTAATCCACAGCTAAATCCTCTTTACAGTGGGGAGATCCTAATAATCTTGAGTTATAGGGTTTTATAACCTATAGGAGAAGAGCAGGGTGTCCTAAGATGGTAGGACTTACAAATCCATTGGTCAATAAAAGAAATGAAAGTATAAAACAATGTGTTTTTTCATCTTCCAGCATTGCCATGCTGAATATCACATTAAAATATTGCCTAAATCCTTCTTTTAATTTCCTTTGACATCTGGCAGCAACTTGCAAAACATTTCAGAATATTCTGGAGAAAAAAAAACAACCCAGAAAGTCTGTCAAAGCTTCATCTTCTCCTAGGATGGGATTTAGCCCAAATATTCTGTAATAGATTGAGTTATGTTTTCTTCTCCAGCACTGTAATTGGCTTCATGTTTCATGATATGAATGACTCCAGCTGATGTTCCTCCCGTGGATCCAGAGGTATCTCATATTTATATCCCAATAAGCTTCTAATATTGGAGAAATACATTGGGTTTTAGGCCCTGTGTGACAGCTGTAGCTCTTTCAATCATTGTTATTAAGGAATATTTGCACGAGGTGCCATCTCTGTCCACGCAGACAATTTTTTTTGGCAGTTTTGCCACACAGTTTTTCCTCCCTGGGTCTCTGCAGAGAGTGAAGACTCCACTTATTGAGCTCAGCAAGTGGCACTTTTTGACTGCCTGTTCCTTCTTGGTTCAGCTGCAAATCAGCAGAGGCAGGAGCTGCACAGAAAATTAGAGGCTTTGTTTTAAGAAAGTTCATTGTTGCTGTAGCTCTGATCCCTCTGGCTTTTATTTCAGCCAGAGAGACGTTCCCTGGCTTTTGGGATCGATGAGTGAGGGGATATATTGGGAAGTGGTGTGGGTTTGAAGTGGGATTTGCTTTGATATTTCTGTGCAGATCCATGTGATGGCTCCCTGACTCATACAGCTGAAAATAGGTGGTGATATCAACCACAGAATTCTTCACAGATTTCCCCCCCCCCTTTTCTTGCTTAGTTAGCTGCTCTTCCAAAAAATCCAGGTCATTATTCAAATGTGTGCTTAGATCAAAACTCCAGATAGCATCACTCTTACTCATTGATGATTCACTCTGGAGCAAATTTTGGTCCTAGTGAACAAACTCGGTGTTGCCTTAGTCATAAGTTTGTTTGGCAAATCACATGTCAGGCTTAAATTAAGCCCCTGCTTAAAGCAGATATTTTTTTGAATATATTCTGGAAAGGTTGAGCGTAAGATTTATATAGATAAGATTTATACTGAAAACTTGTCAAAGCAAAACTGGAGAATGAAAAATTCTGTTAATTTGGGGGGAAAATATGAACTTACATTGTCGGCAACAGACCTAAAGGAGCTACCTGACATTAAACTTGTTTTGTCAAGTCTATTTATAAATTAATTTTAAATCCTGACTTTTGGGAGTCTTTGGAGTAACAAACCCCCTGCCCACCACCACCCACAGGGCTCAGCATCACCACAGCCTCTGCTCTGCCACTGCTGACACCAAATCCACCTTTCCCAAAGATTTTTTGATATTTTTGATCCTCATGCCAATATCAAATTTGCACTGAATCTTTTAAACTGTCACCATATGGCTCTTTACGTTAACAGGGCCATTCTGCCCTGAGGCAGAACGGGAATGTAGCTGAAATTAGAATTTTAAAGCCAAACACAAAATAGGTAATGCAAATAAAACCATTTCCAAAAATAGTTAGAACAGAACACCTGTGGAATTATGTTGAAAGGAAGGGCAGGAACGGAGGTGGAGGATCGGGTTATAAATCACATGGCAGATGGAAACAGGGTTTGGTTGGATCCATCCATAGCTCCAGCTCCTACACCATTGCAGTGAAATGACTCTGGAAGTGCATTTGCTGACAGACTACAGGTATGGTTAAAGAAAGAGGAAAATCCATGGAATTTAATATATTCAAAGCATGTCCTGGATGATGATGTGCCCGTGGGAATAGGCCAAATGCAGGAATGGGACTGGCAAATCACAGCCAAACCACAGCAGGATCCATTGGGAAAATTATCATCCCATCTCCTGATGCCGTAGAGACAATGGCTCCACTCTCATTCCCAGCTGGAGAAAAGGAAAAGCTTTAGAGGTGCTGGTTAAGCATGACCAAGGCTCTGCCCACAGTGGGATGGAGGAGCTGTTCCTCAGCAAATTAATAACCCCAGCCATGTGCCAAGACCTACAGCTCCTTGTTGTGGTTGCCCTGTCAGAGAGAGAACCTGTTCCCTTTCCAACTGGCAATGGAGCAGAACAAAACCTGTCATTAAAGAGGTGCCAGCAGGAAAGGGAAGCTGGGGATGGAACCATAACTACCCAAATTGGAATATTTTCATATGTCCCAGGTGACACGAGAGCAGTGTTTTCTTAAGCTTGGTAGCTTACAAATGTAGTTGGGATAATCCAGACAGGTTGGGATTACAACTCCTTGACACTCCTAGGATTTATGGATCATTTTCCTCTGAAGGATTAACCTGTGACTTCAGGAAAAGCTCACGAAATGTCTGTGTGTTTAAAATCAAGAGAGAATTATGCAAAAGAAATTCCTTAACCAACCACCGAATTCTTGGGGGAAAATGGGAATGGACTAATTTGGGCTCCTTAAAAACATAACCATTGTATTTTTTTCAATTGAAGTTTTATACTGAAACTCTGATGTAATTTCCCTATTATATAACGGCATTATTTTCCACTCCTTTATTTCTCCTTTGTTTCCAAGAATGATTAATTGGTGACACTACTCGAGTACTTGCAGGAACATTCCCAAACCCAGCCATTCTTTTGTCTGAGAACATTTTTGCCACACCTGGAGCAGCCAGAAGCACCAGTGTCCTGATTTTTAATCTCATGGGCATTATGTAGGATTTCAGGGTTAGAAACTCCCGTCCTGCCCACGACATTCCCTGATTTTCCCACGAGCAGGCGTGGGATGTCTTGCACAAAGGTTACTGGAGCCTCCAAAGGCTCAGTGGTGAGGAGAAAAGTGGGCCAGGGTGACCTGGACAGAAAGGGAAATGGTGACAACTGCTTTTCTATGAGGTTTAACAACACTTGTGCAGGTGCTTTAGAAATGGTCCCCCGTGGTTTGGTCACCTCTTATGTTCTCTTAGACTTCCAAGTTGTTTTCAGCTGATGCTGCTCCTCTCTGCACTGGCTTTCCAGTAAATCCAGCCTCTTCCCAGACCACCTGGGCTCCCTGGATGTTGGGTGCTTGCAGTGCCCTGAAAGGAACCACAAATATTCCACAAATATTACAGAGTTATAGAATCACAGAATCAATTTGGCTGAAAAGCCCCCTGAGATCATTGAGTCCTCCCTGTGCCCCATCCCCACCTTGTCCCCCAGCCCAGAGCACTGAGTGCCACGTCCAGTCCTTCCTTGGACACCTCCAGGGATGGGGACTCCAAACCTCCCTGGACCCATTCCAATATTTAATCATCCTTTCTGTGAAGAAATTCCTCCTGATGTCCAACCTGAACCTCCCCTGGTGCAGCTTAAGACTCTGACCTCTCATCCTATTGCTACCCTGAATTATCCATAATTTTAATTTTCAAACGTCCAAGGCTCATGTGTGAACACTCAGAGTTGAGGGCATCACCTTTCCCTCACTTCCAGTAGTGTCCTCCTTCCCTGTCTGCTCCATCCCGTGCCCACAATTCAGTTCCCACTTTTCACTCTTTTCTTCCTTTTTTTTCTTAGTGAACTTCAGAGAAATGTGGTGAGAGGGTCCTGCTCTGTCTGTGCTCCAGACCTGAGTCTGGGACACACGGAGGAGGCTCCTACATATCCAGCTTCAAGTTCGGCATCAGAGGAAGACACAGTTGGACTCAGCTGTGTGAAAATATCCTCTAAGACCAATCTGAGGTGAGACAGAAGCTCCCCAAAGTGTGCCTGGCTCCTTTCACACAGTGAGGGAGCCTGAGGGGTTATGCAGGCCCCAAACTTCCCTTTTCCTGATGACTCAGCTCCCTCAGCACTGGGCTGGTGTGTGCTCCAAACTGGCCTTTCCTCAACTCCATCCAGCCTGGCCTTGGACACCTCCAGGGATCCAGGGGCAGCCACAGCTTCTCTGGGTAACCTGGGCCAGGGCCTCCCCACCCTCACAGCCAACAATTCCTTCCCAATATCCAACCTAACCCTGCCCTCTGGCAGTGGAAAGCCATTCCCTGTGTCCTGTCACTCCGTGCCTTTGCCAAAAGCCCGTCTCCAGCTTCCAAAGTAAACTCACTGCTCTTCTTTCCACAGAGTTTGACTGTGAACCAAAAGCAAAGGAGTGAAATAGCTGCATGTGATAACAGGCAAACCTCTCCCATCTTTTCAGGGAGCAACGTGGAATCATCAGACTCTTATTTAAGAATCCAGAATCACCGAGGTTGGAAAAGCCCTCCCAGCCCACGGAATCCCCTCTGTGCTCCATCCCCCCCTTGTCCCCCAGCCCAGAGCACTGAGTGCCATGTCCAGGCCTTCCTGGGGCACCTCCAGGGCTGGGCACTCCAAACCTCCCTGGGCAGCCCCTGCCAAGGCCTGACCACCCTTTCCAGGGAGAAATACCTCCTCATGTCCAACCTAAAAGAAACCAAGAAAGAAGCAAGAAGCAAGCTCTGGGTCCCAAGCACTTTCTTGAGGGCTGACTGTTCACACTTTTAATGGTATGAAAGTGGCCACCAGGTCCGGAAAATAAAAATAGGCTTCTCATGCTCAAAAGCCCAGCCCAGGATGAGGTTCTCACTCACCACCACTCAGCAGTCCCCCTAGGGCCCCTTTTCCAGCTGCCACAATCCCAGGATGTGTTTGGTGCTGGTGCAGCAGAAGAGATTCCTGAGCTGAGCACCGTTGTTCCTGAGGAAGCAAGAGCTGGTGTAAAGGTGTGACCTTGCTGGAGCAACTCTTCTAAAGCACTTGTGTATTTATGAAGATCTGATTGCATGTGGAGCAGGAGATTTCAATGAGCAGCAATTTGGAAGTGGGAATAGTGTATCAGCTTTGCTATGACTGATGTCTGCATAATGAAAGTGTCTTTTTTTGTACTGTTTTCTTAAAAAAACCCTCTTTGACAAGGAAGTACAGGAATGTGAGGCTTGAATACATCTTTAAATCTGCATGTTGATTGCATAACTTACAACCAGGACTAAAAACTTCCTTTTGTTATTACAAATGTGTGCCCTGAGTACTACAAAAACAGGATCACCACTGTTTGTTTCCAACGTGACACTTTCATTTTCCTTTTGACTCCTCTTGCAACCGAGATAATATTTCTGTTTCTTGGTGCACAGCAACGTTGCTGAGAGACTCTTGTTTTTCTGTGATGGCTTTCAGCCCCATTTTGCAGAGAAATGTCACAGGATGACACTGCTCCCATACAAGTGACAATAAACTTCCCTCTGGTTTGCATCAGAGTCAGATAAAAGTAAAATCTTTCCTCCTGGGGAAACTCCTCCTGGCTGACACCAGGGGAACTGCTTTGAGGAGACCTGGGTCATCTCTGCAGCTGGAAATGGTTCTACCCTCATTGGAGAGAAGCACTGGGGAGATATTTGGGTTTTAAAGGGTTATGGAAGGACTTTAGAGATTAAGAAGGGAAAAAAAGACTGAGATGTGATGATAAAGGTCTGGTATTTGCAGATAAAGGAACAAACCCTGCTGGAGAAGGTCAAGTTTTGTTGGTAGAAAAGCATTTCCCTGGATATCTTGGGAAGCCTTGAGCTATGCCCATGCAAGGTTTGGATTTTCTTGGAATTTCCATTGAATATTCCTGCTCCAGGGAGTGCTGCTACTCCAGATTAGCCCATGGTATCAACCTCAGAGCAAGGTGGGCAGGGAAAATATTGCCATTACTGATCAATAAGAAAAACTGTTCTATCCAGGCCACTAACCCAGAAGACAGAGATGATCAAGGTGGGTTTGTTGGGTTTTTAGGTAAGAATGTGGCTTTAGAGTATTTTAAGAAGTGACACTTGGTGTATTTCCTGATTTCTTATTTTTATATAGTGGAAAGTGTCCGTGCCCGTGGAATTAAATGATCTTTAATGTCCCTTCCAACCTGAACCAGTCTGTGATTCTATGATTTTAAAGTTGCCTACAGATTTATTTTTAGAAAGCAGCCCCACTTCTACCCTTGTGCTGAAATGCAGCAGAACTACGAAGCTCTGAGGAGGAAAGGGAGCATCTCTGACCGCTGGAGAGAGGTTTTCAAAGTCCTCTTTAGGGCGAGTCCTTCATCTGACTTGTGAACTCTGAATAAAAATTGTAGCAGTTTTCAATGCTCGATTATTCTGATTTTATTGATATTTTAAGTGGCAGGATGGGGTTTGATTTTTAATTTTTTAACACAAGCCGGGGGAGCTCCCAGCTCCTCAAAATTCAAATAAATAAATCAATTAATGTCTCGAATTTGCCTCCTGAGGTGTGAGATTTTGGGATAAATTTGTATATATTTGTAAAACTGGTTTTTGTGATTTTTCTCTGCTAGGACTTTCTAAATGACAGTTGATAAATCTCTCTCTCTTTAAGGCCTATTTTCCAAAACTTAAGGCCCTGAATACAATCCTTATTATGTACTGCTTTTAACAGTATATTTCTGGTTCCAGGCATAACCATGTTTTTCCTCTTCACTGGTCACTGCACTGTAAAGTTACATTTTCCTGTGGTAAACCCCCAGATTTATGTGGTTTTGGGCTGCACTCATACAGGTGCTTAATGGCTTTACTTGATAATTCCAAACCAAATTAATCTGGTTTCAGAATTGCATTGTTGTTAACTAACTTGTTGAATTGTGTCGTAAAAGAGCACATTTAGAGTCAAGAGCAGGTTTATTTTTTGAGTGTGAATCTGAGATTTCACAGCACAGGAAGCAGCTGCAGCAGGTTCCTTTAGAGAGCTGCCGACCCTCCCATGCCTGTAGTAACCCTCACACAGAAAGCACAATTCCCTTTCATTTCAAACCTATTTCTTGACACAAATAGTTCTGCTACAAAACTTTCGAATCAGGAGCTTCCTGCTGCTTTTCATCACGTTACCTTCCTGCTATAATTTGGGGAATCAGCCATTTCCATAGCTGCCCTTTTATTTCGTTTGATTTGGTGTCTGTTGCCGTCGGGCTCGAGATTTTAACTCCATTTTCAACTTTTTATAATTTCCATTCAGAGCTTTACATCTCCCAGGAAGCTATTCCACGCTAGATTGCAGGTTTTGGCTGATAGGTTTTTTTTGGTGACCTTAAAGAGGAAAATGTGCAGGCTGCCAGTTCCCTCAACTCTTGGAATAATTGGAAATAGAAATGGTTTGGAATGATACATTAACTGTGAACATTAGCCACTAAGCATGCTTACTAGCTACTTTGATCAAGCTCTTTTTTCCTGACAAAACCCCCTTTGAAATGAATAGGACAGAGGTTCCTTTCACTTCAATCAGAGTTCTCAGACACGAGGAGAAAGAAGGACTTCATAACCTTTAAAAAGACTCCCCTAGTCCATTCATGGATCTCCTGGAAAGCTCAGCACTTTCCCTTGTGCTGGAGTTACTAAGCCAGCCTCCTGGACACTTTTAGGCTCCCTTCTAGTGAAGATTTGCTTAAACATGAGATCAAACCCCTCTGTAATGAGACTGGAATCCGGGATGTACAATGGCAGCAACACCGGGAATATTTGAGAGCGTGGATTCATCAGCATCACTTCCCTAATTGCATCCTCTGAGTCTGGAGCTGGCAGGGTGCAGAAGACAATTCTTCTGAACACTTACCATCTTGATTATTTACAGTCAAATCATCAGCACCCTAAAATTTCCAGTTTATCTTTTAACACCCTACACTCAGTCAAGGTGTCGAACACCCCACAAGGCTGAACAACCCTGTGCCTTGTGAGGGGCCAAACCCACTTCTGGACTCTCTGTTTCTGTATTTTCTGTGCCTTTTTTGGTTTTTAAGACTTCTTGTACTTATAAGGTAACAACACAGAACATAGAACTGCTCGTGCCATGTCATGTTGCAATAATGTACATTGAGATAATTGTCTCTAAGTGATGCTTGTGCTTGGAGAACATTAATGCAGCGAGAGGAAAAAAACCCAAAAAACAAACATCAGAAACAACAACAACAACAAAACAGGATACATTTGCAGAAAAGTCCATCAGGCTTCAGTCAGCTATGGTGAGAACAAGGATTCCTTGTGCTAAATGTCACTGTGGAGAAGCAGAACCAAAAGCCCCTGAGCCTATATGACCCTGACATTTCCACTGATACAGGTGTCAAAGTGAAATCTGGGGGTTTTCAGTCTACCCAGTGCTCAAATGTGCATATTCAACTCCATTGTCTCTACAGAAAACACAAAGACAAGTCAGAATTCAACTGCTGAATAAATAATTTCGTTTGAGACGTGGTTTCCCTGATTTGTGCATAAAAAATAACTTATTTTATCTGCAGGTGAGGTACAGCTCATAATTTTTTCACAGCTAAAATTCTTCAGAAAACCTGTAATATTTTACCAGAGGAAGAGATCACTTAAAAGATTGATGGTTCTGGCTTAAAGCTAAACTAATGTAAGCTGAAACTTTAGTTTTGCCCATGTTCAGCTCTGTGCAATGGCTTTTTTGACTACATAAAAAAACCCCTCTGTATCCTACAGGGCATCATTTAAAAAAAAATTGCATTGCTTTTAGAAATGAAATAATGGGATGAGTTTAGGACTAAGAGCCACCTTGAGGGTAAATATGTTTCATTTTTGTTCTTTTTTTTATTTTTTTATTTTTTAAGTAGTGAAAAAGAACAGAACATGCACACAAAGGGAAAAGGCTATTATTATCTATTGTTCAGCTGTGCTGACTGAAAGGGGAAACAAATCTTTAAGCAGTGTGTAAAATGCCTCTTTCCTGCAGAAGCAGAAAGAGGAAAGTTCTTTCTGTCTTTCAACTACTCGAGGAAGTACTTCAGGAGGAACTGCCTGTTCCACTCAGCTGCCTCACCTTTCCACATGTGTGTCACCTGTGCAGCCGGGCTGGAACACACTCCAGGTAATGGAATTTTTATGGAAAATGCAGCTCATGCAGAAAGACATCACGATGGCTCTTTGAAAATGCCAACCCTCTGCCGCTACCAATTAATCATGAGTCACTTTAGGGGTGTCAGACCCACTTTGGCCACTTCTAAAAGGGTGCTGAGCTATAAATTCTAGGCTAGAAACCATACAACTGTTAAACATTTATGTCTTCATTCTAGTCCAAGTCAAGAACTGTACGAATAGAAAATTTTAAAGGGAATTATAAATGAGCAAAGTATCACACTTTTGTTCTCTGTTGGTTTTCTCATCACCTTTAAAGCTTCATTTGCTCACATGACTATTAATGAACATTTACCTGATGTTTTCATAGGAGTTAATCCAATTTCCACATCTCTTTCCCAAGCTAATTTGGGTCCGTGGCTGATGAACGTAATGTTCTTGCTCTTTCTTTTTGCCTCCTGTGTATTACTGTGCTTGTTTCATCTGCCTTCTCTCTCTCTCTAGCTGACACAATTCTTTATTCTTCATTTTGTAAATCATGTGTTTGTCAAGAACAGTAGTTGTATTTGCTGTACAAAACCATGTAAATGAAAAAATGCAACAGGTAACTAAAAATGAATGGCAATTCAGAGACCAAACCTATTTTTTCCTAATTAAAAAATGGAATATTAGCTACAGCTGGCACTATGATCCAAATGGTTAAGCTTTGACTAACAGTTTTGGTTTAATTCAGAGGCAGAAGGTTGCACTGACAACTCCTGTGAGAGCTCTGAGGTGGAGGTGAGTTTAGTAAACTAAAACACGACAAGTTCCACTTCAAAATGAGGAAGAACTTCTTCATATTTAGGGCAGCCAAGCACCGGAATAGGTGCCCAGGGAAGGTGTGGAGTCTCCCTCTCCAGACACATTCCAAACCCACCTGGATGCTGTCCTGTTTCACCTGCTCTGGGTGCCCCTGGTTGAACTGGATGATCTCCAGAGGTCCCTTCCAACCCTAAATATTGTGTGATTCTGTGGAGAAAATAAATAAACAATTGAAACGTGCAAGCACGAGTTTGTTTCTAAGTCACTCATTCTCTTCTGACGAGCTCTTTTTATTGCTGGAACACTTTTAAGTTCACATCAGCAGACAAGCTGAGGAGAGGAACCAGATGGTTTGTCCAGAGAGCAGGGGACACTGTGGGGACACTGTGGGGAGACAGCAGGGACACAGCAGGGACATGGTGGGGACATGGTGGGAATACTGTGGGGTCACGGCAGGGACACTGTGGGGATATTGTGGGAACACTGTGTGGACATTTTAGGGACAGGGTGGGGAGACAGTGGGGATACTGTAGGGCCATGGAGACACAGAGGGGACACTGTGGGGAAACTGTGGGGACGCAGTGGGGACACTGTGGGACATGGCATGGACACCATGAAGCACTGTGTGGGCAATGTGGGGACACGGAGAGAATACTGTGGAGATACTGTGGGGACACTGCGGAGACTTTGGGGACAGTGTGGGGAGACAGTTGGGACACTGTGGGGACATGGAGAGGATACTGTAGGGACACGGCAGGGACCCTATAGGGACACTGTGGGGACATTATGTGGACGCCTTGGGGACAGCGTGGGGAGACAGCGAGGACACTGTGGAAACATCATGGGGATACTGTGGGGATATTGTGGGGACAGTGTGGGGACACGGCGTGGACATGGTGGAGAAACTGTGGGGACACTGTGGGGAGACAGTGGGGACGATGTGGGGACACTGTAGGGATACGGCAGGGACACCGGGGAGACACTGTGGGGACTCTGTGGGGAGACAGCGGGAACACTGTGCGGACACTGTGCAGACCCAGCGGTGACACTCCCGGGACGCTGTGGGCAGCCGGCGGTGACAGTTTCGGGACACTGTTCGGACACTCCGCTCTCCTCTCCCAGCCGGTCCCGCCGCCCCCCTCAGGCTCCCCGAGGCTCCCTCAGCCTCCCGCCCTCGGCTGCGCGCGCAGCGCCGCTCCCGCCGCGCGGGCTGCCGGGACGGCTGGCGGCCGTGGTTAATGTCCGCCATGTTTGCCATGGCGCAGGGAGCGGACCGAGCGAGCCCGGCGCGGATCTAGGGCTGCGGGGCGTGCGCGGCGAGCTACGGGCGGCCCCGCCGGGAGCTGCGCCGGGGCGGCGGGACCCTCCATGGTGGCGCGGGCGCGGCGCGGGAGCGGCTGGGAGGCGGCGGCGAGGCCGCACTGAAGGCCCCCCCCCCGCCCGCCCGCCCGGCCCCGGGGTGTTATTGTGAGGGGGAGACAATGAGCAAACTCTCCTTCCGCGCCCGGGCGCTAGACGCCGCCAAACCGCTGCCCATCTACCGCGGCAAGGACATGCCCGACCTCAACGACTGCGTCTCCATCAACCGGGCCGTGCCGCAGATGCCCACGGGGATGGAGAAGGAGGAGGAATCGGTAAGGGAGCGCGGCGCAGGGGGGGCACCATTGTTTACAGGCACCCCCCGCGCGGGCGCCGCCGGCCCGTATTCACCAAGCGCGCTACGCCCGGCCCGCCGCGCCGCGCGCGGGGCGCTGCGCAAACGGCGCAGCCTCGGCCGCGCTCCGCG